TTCCTAGTTCAGCTCCAATTTCTAGTTTAATAGCAACTTAACTTCAGTTCAATTCGGCTCAATCATGAAAATAGTTTTTTGATCCAAATCAAGCAATTAATGGCTCTAATCAATGGTCTGATTGTTCAATTTTGTCCAATTTTGAAAACAATGTTTGTGAGTTTTTCTTGGGGGCTTTTATGTTTGTTTGTAATAATAATTTTTTTAGAATTAAGGGTTATTTTTGTTTCTAAACTGTATAAGAAAAGTCATAAATGACTCTAAATTCAAGTATAGGTCAATTTTGTCCCTCAATTTTAAAAATTTGCTTCCTCATCATTGTTAGTCATAAATGCCATTTTTTTATTGTTAGTTGACTGTTAGTGAGCCCCATATTATATTTGTTTATTATAAAATATTTAAGTTGAGGGTGCCAATTGACCCTTTGAATAAAAGTAGAGGGGTAAAAAAGATCATAAACTTGATAAAGAAGGGTAAAAATGACCCTTAACTTTAGTGAAAACTATTGAAAAAACGGTGAGACTTGCTGATGACTAATGGATGTTAAGTGTTTTTAATGTTAGGGTGATAACGGAGGGAATATATAAAGTTAATTGACAAAATTGACCTATAGTTGAGTTTAGAGTTATTTGTGACCTTTCGTGTATAGTTTAACAGCAAACATAACTATTAACCCATCTTTTCATATTTGATTATATTTAACTTACTCTCAAAAGAAAAACATCACCCAAGCCTTCTCATTTAAAACTCCCCACATCTTTTCCTACTTTCATGTGCACACTATATTTATTTGACTTAAATTGCATTTTTTCTTGTTCTTTCATTAAGAAGTGTTGGATACCCTATACTAATATTGGAGTATTTTCTCCCTAAACCATTTTTTTAGAGGAGCAAAAGTTTGCTTCATTAGTTATCTGTTAACTCTACTATTTTTAGCTAACATGATATATCCTTTTATGTTAATTTATCCTTAAACTCTCTTTTTAAGAGTGCTAGGCATTCTAAAATTTCTTTCCTTCAAAGAGCGCTTAAAGAAGAGAGGTTTTTAGGAGAATAAATGATTTACTTATTAGTACTATTAGATATGCTGGTCACTCAAGAGGGGGATCAATTAGGTATCTTTTGATTTTTCACTTAAAGCTCTTGACCATAGAAAATTGGAATATGAATGTTGATAAGAGAGATGGAGCTTATTAAGATAAGAGAGATAGTGAGGATATACTAGGAATTTATCCTGGTTTAGCCCAATTCACTTGGCCCACGTCTAGTCCCCAAGAACCTTTTGAGATTTTCTACTACAACCATAAGTTCAATTTAGGCACTTGTGAAGCCACAGTACAATCTTAGATTTAGCATCTATATCACTCTCCTTTAAAAAAATCATACAAGTTCAACCTGGGCACTTGTGAAGCCACTTACAATCTCTCAAACTTACAAGTCTATTTCTCTCCCCTTTCCAAAAGTAATTTTAGCACTTACTTAAGATCCCTTAATCTTAACTCTGCTCAAATAAATAATGGACAGAATTTGATCACAAAGTGATCCTAATACAAACTTACACATTGAGTAGATGAGTACATTGAGGTACAACAATATTGAAGATAAAAATAGAGGAGTTGAGAGTATTGAATATTACAACTTGCGCACTATTACTTCTCTTCTCTCCTTTGATCTTCATAGATGAGTCATTTTATAGTTAGAGTTGATAAGTGATCTGTTAGACTCAATAATATAGCCGTTGGAATAGTCTCCTTCTTTCTTCAGCATCTTACAGAGTGTTTATTAGACACAATCAATATTCTGTTGCTCTTCATTGTAGGTTTGTAACTTTGCAATGATATTGTTACCTAAAAGGATATTGGAATGGTAGCTTTCTAAATGAGTTTACATGTTGGAGAAAAAAAGCAAATATTACGGCATTTATGCATTTAATGCTCTGACAATATTACTATTGAGATGAATACCAAAAAAATGGCGAGAATATGGATATTGAAATAATCAAGAAATGTTTAATCCGTCCTTAGGTTGTGTTTAAAAGAATTCTAAAATAGGTAAGAATATTAACACAACACTTAGATTATGAAAATGTTTAGTAACACAAGAGATTCAAAACTTATAAGATGTGGAACGAAAAATAGAGCATATTTCTTTATATTTATATTGATTGAATGTGCTTACTCTGGAATAGTAAAGAATAAAACAGTTAAAAGCACAGGAATGACTCTACTGGAATATCTCTCTTATATCAGAATAAGTTTACACATATGGTGATCTAAAGAGCTTTATTTGGAAACATGGAAAGTTATTCCCAAATACGAGTTACATGTTTCTGTATAGCTGAATGTATTTTGAAATATGAAAGACACACAAGAACAAGTTATTCTAGAATAAAGGTGTTGTTCCAGAATAAGGACCTTATGAATGAAAAACACAAAGAAGTTCTCAGATTTTGAGATGTTTAATTCTGAGAGCAGCTGAAATACTTCATGGACACTAGAAATGATCCTTGAAAGATTAAAATTAAGTCAAATACTTAATCTTTGGAAAGAAACTTAATTAGATCAAATATAGATTAAGCTTTTGAGTTTCTTAACAATATGGGAATAGCGGATGATGAAAAATTATCATTAAGAGTTTAATCCTAGGAAAAGTTGTGTTTAAAATGATTTTAGAAAGGTTACAAGGTTAATACAACTCATAGAGAACAAAAGGAATTAATGTTGAATGAGTTTCAAAGAGTTCGTAATCAAACATGAAGAACTAAGCATAAAAAATGATGTTTATATTGAAATAATGAGTTTATAAGGTAAGTGATCGTTTGTATTGGTATATGAGAGTTCTATACCTGTATAAGACAAGGCTAAACTCAAAAACGAAGGTTTGTAATGGTATAAAGGGCTTCGTACCGAAATAAGAAAGAATTATATAATTTATACTGGAATAAGACTATCTATACCAAAAGAAAGTACAGGAGAAAAGACACTTTAACCCTTTATTTATTTCTATTTCTTCACATATTTTTTACCATCTTATATATAAATTACTTCTAATTATTTTATAAGAATCATGAAAAGGTAGTTAAATTATTAGTATTATTTCATAACGGAATATTTTTTTTATTTTGCTCTTATCAAATGCATCATATTTAAAAACAATTTTTATTTCATATGTTGCCTCTTGCTTGGGTTATAAGAGATATTGAAATAATAAAATTGAAAAAAGTACTTAATAATTCATTTTTAATATAAAGTGATTCATATAAATTTATCAAATTAAAAGATAATTTAGATATAGGATAAGACGGAATATTTATTTCTTTTTATTATTATTGTTTATTCACTTCTAAAATAGAATGATACTTAAGAGGACATGTTAGTTCCTTTTTCACACATATTTACAAGAACACATGCCGTTAATTATTATACTTTGTCCTCTAATTTTATGTAAGATTTTAATTTAGCCTCTTAGTTTTATAAAGTCTATTTTCAATTTTTTTAACTTTAATACCGTGATTATGTTATAACATGATTATTTTTTAATGTTATTTTCTAAAATTAATTTTGATAAAATTGAAAATGTTTGAATGATGTATTCAAAATCAATTGTAAATGGATAAATTATCAAAAAGGACATTTCTTTTTAAAATATAAATATGAAAAAATTATATATAGATTTCATTGGAAAAGACTTATTTACAAATATAAGTCTCGTGAGATTTAGAAACTACAAGCAAGTCCTTGGAACAATACTACCTTTACTTGTAATATATGATTAGTTTAACTATTTGATAAGTGAAGTTATAATTGTAAAAAGTTAAAGTAATAATTGTAAATTACTAATGAAATGATTAAAAATAATTATTATTAAACTTTATTAATAATGCATGATCGATTTAACTATTAAATATATAAAGTTACGATAATAAAATGTTTAAGTAATAATTGTAAATTATTAACGAGGCAGTTGTAAACAATTAGTATTAAACTTTATTAATAATGTATAATCAGTTTAACTATTAAATATGTAAAATTATAATTATAAAATATTGATGTAATAGTTATACATTACTAATGAAGGAGTTGTATACAATTAATATGAAAACTTGTAACGCATAATCAATTTAAACATCATATATATAAGGTTATAGTTATAAAAAGTTGAAATAATAGTTATAAATTACTTAATGTAACGTAATTTTAAGACATTATTATCTCAGCACCACAATTTTAAATTACATTTAGGACTTAAAATACTTAGTTGTGGTTTTTAAATTTTACAAAATTTATTTATAAATAAGTTTATTTCAATAAACCTATACATAATTTCCCTGTAAATATTGATAAAATTATATATAATATTATTAAATTTGAAATAATTCTATTCAACCAAAAAAAAGTATACAAATGATCCATTTAATATTTTGTTAGCCTCTGCCTCTAGTGCTTTTGCTATTATGAAACCCAATCACCAAACTAAATTACTGTCAATTAATTTAATTAAAATAAAACTCTAGTGCTAACCTTATTGCTTGTATAGTTTGATTGTCTTCTTATATGTATTTAGGATTAACTATTTCAAATCAATTACGTAGCAGCACCAGAAAAAGATTAACCAGCTCAAATTCTCGGTTGGCCACAAAATTAACAGAGGCAAGAAACCAAGAGTAAAGTTTCAATGTTCGACAAATAAGTTTAATTTCAACGGAAATCCAGAAATCCAAAAAGAGTCATCCATCTTCTATGTACATCATCAGAAAGTTCCAAGTGGCTCAACTTTCTAGAGAAATCATGAGGGAGAGGTCCGACAGACCGAAACGAAATTTGGAAAACTGGAATAGAAAAACAGAGGCAAAGAAACGGAAGTTATAACGATCTCATTCATGAGTAAGACGATAAATTCTAGGAACAAAAATTACTATATTCCAACGAGTAATTAACACAATCTGTAGCAGAGAAATATTCCAACAAGTAAAACAAAAATCACATGGCAAGAACGAAACAAATAGCAAGCACTTGACATTACAGAATGCAAGAATTGAACTCACTGAATCTTTTCGTCTAAACCACAAAGACCAGAACGGAACAATGAACGCAAACATTTTACATAAACTCTCTGTAACTTAACACGAAGTTGAATACATCAATCCATGCCTGTTTCTTCCTTCATGATAAAAGAAGCCATGCGTTTGGTCATTTTCTTGCCATTCTCAGACTCTGGATGAAAGATATGATAAACATCGTCTTCTCCTTCCTATTCCAACAGCTCCATTTCACCACTCCACCCACTCTTCTTCACACCCTCATAGAACCAAACCCCTGTCTCTCAAAAAATCTTTCCCTGAACCACGGACAAGAATCGTAGAACACCCATGTCCAGCCAAGCTGGGTGCTCCAGGAGCCAAGGGATTTACCATGGGTTATCTAATCCGCGTGGGGCTGAAGGGCGCATTAATTTCCACAACAAAACAGGCAAGCGCTGGTCCTGCCCTGAAACAGGTTCAGGCTCAATTGGACCTCAACTGCAGAACTAAGGATGAACATATATAGCGCCTAAAATTCTAACCCCACCAGTCAAATCCTCAACCCCACCACGCATGGCGATGTTATGTACAATATTACCACCAGCACTATCACCGGCGATGAAAACTCTACTGAAATCTCCGTAATTTAGCAATGGCTCTTCACTAGCGTCTTTCGTCGAACAGGTTACGACCCATTTCAGGGCTTCCCAGGAGTCTTCATAAGCTGCAGGCAGCGAGTGTTCCGGAGCGAGCCTGTATTCTACAGAGACGACGACTACGTTTACTTGGGAGACGAAGAGGTTTAAGTAACTGTGGTACAGCTGAGAAGGCGGATTCGAAGAAGAATCCACTGCCATGATAGTAGACCAAGATGGGGAGCTTTTGGGTGGTCACGATGGCGGAATTGGGTGGTGGATTTTGGGGGGTAAAGGGGAGGAGAAATGGGAGGCTCTCAGGAGATCACAAAGTTCATTTTTTTTTATAAAAACTCATAATTAAGGTGTACAAACGATAATATAAGTGCCAAGCCCACAACTACTTTAAACCACACTTAATAAATTATTTTAAACTCGTGTAATACATCACATTCATTTCAATACACATATTACATAAAGTCATCACTCAACCTCTTGATTTACAAAAACAAAAAGGAGGAAAATAATTTATAAAAAAACACTAAATATCCATTATAAGCAACTAAATACACCATTATCTATTTGTACTTATATTTCGACCTTATATAAGTTTTACAATCATATATCACTGGTTTAGAGCACAAATACACATAATTTTCTCAACTATAATATAAGTAGTCAAAGAAATTGAATGAAATCCTAGGTTGAAAAATAATCAACAAAATACACATATAAGTAAATCCAGAGGCCTAATGATATGATTTTCGCTTAGTCCTAGGCCTCTAGTCATTTTTCCCTATCATGATCCAATGTGTTAGGCCTTGAAATATCGAATAATAAAGAAGTGAGTATAACCACTCAGTAACCAAGGTCAACTTAGCTGATATAGTTATATATCAATTAATTATGGATGTAATTGGCAATAAACTCTATGCAAATTCACATTTAGTCTTGGCCACAAAATTAACAACTATATAACCAAGCATGCAACACATATCATCGTAATATATTACAATTATGCACTTGAGGTAATAAAAATTACAATCATGTGCCCCTAAAAGATGCCGAACCATAAAAATAACAACCATATAGCTAGAATTAAATGTATGATCAATGCTAACCTTATACCCTCCTGTTACCTTCGACATGAAACTGGTGGCTATTAGTGGCTATGTCCATAACTCAGACTAACCTAACCTTCTATCTATAAGGAGTTATTAAGCCCAAGTTAACTCACTTACTTGTGTACTGTGGTTTCTCTCAATACAAACAACCATGAGGTGTCGTATCTCTAATCTAGCCTCCTTATGAACTAGTAAAGATTAGTTAGTTTTAGTCCCTTGAAGAACAAGTAGAACAGTCTCAAATCAATTAAAAGACAACAACTATCTCTCAATTCCAACGGTCGGTATCAAGGCAAGGTTTCAATTCCAACAGTAAGTCGTCACTATAATGTGGATTACTAATATACTTCTCTTCCAAGACAAAAGTTAGGCCAATAATCATGCTATGCACATATTAACACATGTTATGTCATTTTTAATATAATTCATCACATTATATTAACTCACACAATTTTCTTTCTCCCTACTAATCCACATATCAAAAATCATATATCCATCACATTCCACATGTTTATCATTTTCGTAATGACATGCTCTTAATCATCACCACTAGTCATATATGTATATAACATACATATAGTTATCCATAATGCAAGACAATTCCGCACATATAAATAATCACATTGCCTAAATTCGTATCAATAGTTTTCAAATACGAACAAGTTCCAATCACTAAATTTAACAAATAACTAATTAATGAACAACTATACAAACTAGATTTTTTTCTCGATTACCTTAAACTTTTAAAAAGTCAAAGGTTTACCCATCAAACAATCACTTCTAAAGCTTTCAAATTAGCTTGAATGGTGCTAAAATTAGACAATCTACAACCAATCACAAGGGCATTCATTAATTTCGCTCTTTGAGTAATTTCCATCATTCAACTCCACATTTTTCATTTCATCAAAATCATAAACTCATTCCCCATCATGCTCAATGGGTTTACTAGGTTCCAATTACTCACATATCTATTTTAGCTAATGGGTTTAGACCCATAGTTCATAGATATCAAAAATCACTCTCCCAACTCAAACCTTAACTTTAACCCTCATGAAAACGAAAGAAAAGGGAAAAAGAAAGCATAGTGTGTAACATCTTGAAAAATTTAACTCAAGGTTAATTGGGTAATTAAAGATAAATTAGACAATTGAGAGTTAACTCAAATTAAAAGATAATGTATAGATGAACACTTGGGTAATTAAAAATCACTCTAATAGGTCTATCAGACCCTAATTAAGGTTTAAAATTGAACACTTGGTAATATTAGGTCACATTTAGGCCCAATTAGATAGATAGTGTTTAGAATCTAGAATTTTAATATTTGGTTGTAGCCAAAGGCTTATTGGCTGCAGCAAAAGGTTCATTGGCTGTAGCCAAAGCTTGATTTTTAAGCCCCCATATTCACATTTCAGTTCAAAAAATTAGAGGGTTAAGTAGGAGTCTGAAGGTGAATGAAGAGAGCCCTGCTAGGATTTTTTATAGGCATCTAATTGAGTATATTTGGATCTTCTAATCACTTGTATAAGTTCCTACAACCTCTTCTCTTCCTCTCTTATGCTTTTTCATCACTATTTATGGGTAGTTCGTTGAGAATCCAAAAATGGGTTGTGACTTCGCCTGGAATTTTGACTCTACTAGGATTAATGATTGTTTTATTTAAGTGTCTAACCTTCAGGTTATGGTGCTAAAGTTTTAGGATTTCAAAGTGAGGTTCGAAGTAAACCATAGAGTTAATTAGTTGAGCTAAAAAATTATGAGTTATTAATTGTGTTGATTAGACTAATTGGAATCTAAGTGAACTATTGGAACCTAAAAATAGATTTGATTGTAGGTAGATGACTACAATGAGATTTTAAGGTTTAGGCTTTGATTAGAGTTAATTAAAGATAATTAATCATTAATGACTATTGATGTATTTAATTGTAGATTGATCGTTATTGATGCTATTGAGCTGATTGGAAGCTCTGTTTGATATTCGCAGATGCTCTTGGTTGGTAAACCAAGAGTTGAGGTAACCGAGAATTTAAGCATAGTATATCATTATGTCTGCATTTACACTTTAATCATTACTATGAATGGCTTGAAATGAGCTTATGGATGAATATGTTGATTTTAAATTATTACCCAAATATGAAACCTGACTCATTGTGATGAAGTGTTTGATAATTATATTTATATAGATGTTAAGCCTAGATTGTCTATGAGTTGAATGTGTTAAGCATGCATATTTGATGATGTTGAAAGAGATGTCGTAATTATGCATATTTGTGATGAAATGTGTGATGATTATGTTTATAAGATGTTATTTGGTATTTAAAATATAAATAATAGGCTTGGATTGACTATGAGTTGATTATATAACGAGTTATTAGAAACTATAATGTAGTGTAAACTATGATAATCATGCAAGTTCTAGAAATTATGAAGATAATGAATTACTATGATATACATAAGCTTATATTTGCATTTATTGATTGAACTTGCATGATCATAATGGGTGAGAGTTCACTCTAGTATAGTAGAGAATTATGATAGAAAATCTATATAGTATATCCTCTACAAAGTTTGCGCACAATGGTTAGCATACTTTATTACTATATGTGCTTAGTATTGCTAACAACCTATGAGTGTGGTATGGTTTAGGCATGACACTCAATTTCATTAGTCCTGGATTGGATGGTATGGGTCAAGCACTTATGACACTCTAAAATTTGAGTAGGGAGAATCTATGGTCTGAGAGTGAGTATGGGAGTCTTTGGCCGAGTGACCCTTCACAATTAGAGAGCAAGGCTAGTTCAGTCATATGGGCGAGACCTATATGAGATAATAGCTCATGGATTCGATCAGATGATATAAGGAGCGGTATAAGGCGGTTACATTTAATCATGTAAAATACATTATAAATATACATTGTAAGTAATGTTAGTTTGCTTTATGTGATATTAAATGCTTAATTATTGTGATTGCCATACTTTAATATGTTTGATTAAATTATTTAGTTATTAAGATGTTTGTCTTACTCCCATATTTTAATGTTTACAGGTGAGGATTAAGCTAAGGCAAAAGGGAGGCCTCTAAAGCTAGAGATTGAGTAATCGATTATAATATCTCTAGTTTTTTTTTTATGTGTAATTTGAATACAATATTTTTCAATAAGGGGTCTTTCATGTTTACTTATGTTTATTTGAAATCCACTTACATTTGTAGCTTTAAACATTAAATTTAGTCATTTTTGAATTGTCTTGATCATAGTAAGGTCCAAACCCCTAATCTAACTATAGTGGTATACCAAGATAGTTTGAACAAGTATATTTTGACTAGTTAAATGAGTTTTACATGTTTTGGGTGATTTTTAGCTTGAATGCAAATAATTGCATTTTCACCCCCTCGTTGTGTGCTTTATGATGGTTAAGTAGTCAATTCTTTTATCAAGAGTTATTTGATTCTTGTAACTATTTAGACAAATGTATTAGTAGTTATTGAGTGTGGTTCAAGCCCTTGTGAGGGCTAATGGCTTATGGTGTAAGATTTGAACACTTGATTGATGGTTTTAGAGGCAAAAATGTAAAATTGTGGTCCTAGGTATTCAAATTCTTCGTTTGATGTTGGATTGACATGAAATTAAAACCATTAGCTAGATTATAAAATTTTTAATGTGTGGGTACTTGAATCACCTCAATCAAAGATTCGAGTCAAAAGTTATGAGCGTCAAAAGTTCGTGATTGGGTGGCTGTCATGACATTTTTGGCCGAGGCCAATAGATCTTTCGCTATAACAAAAGGACTTCTCGAGATCATTTGGCCATAGCCAAAAGAGAATTGGCTGCAGCCAAAACTTCAATAAAAGTGTTGGCTTTAGCTTAATGTTCTTTGGCCACAGCCAAGTACCCCTATTAAATAAAAATGACTCTTTTTACATTATTTTGACTTGTTTTTGACTCTAATTATTTTTCATGCTTCCCAAAAACTTTTTTCTCTAATTTAAAATGACTAAATGATCTTTTAAACTTAACTTTGAGATTTAATAATTTATGAGATGCCATATATATGGGGCTTTCTTAGTTAGCCTTTTTAAGTTTTTATATAGCTAAGGTTGATCATTTTCTTTTCATGATATCTTTTATTATTAAATTGGTTATAAATATCATGGTAACCCTATCTTAAAGTTAAGTATGTGTTAATTATGTATTTAAGA